ATAATGGCACTTGATTGTTGAGGTTTCTAATATCTAGTCAGACCCACACTCACCATGGTGTTCTCCATGTCTATTTATGCTGTGCATCCTTATCCTAGGCCCTTTTACTTGGCATTCCAGATCCCAACTTGGAGACTTTCACTTTTGATTGGTGAGAGTCCTCTATATCTAGACTCATTACAGTGCTCTCTGTCTATGCTTTCTGAAACTCCAGCTCTAGCTTTGGAGTTAATCCTGGGCTACTGATTACCTAAAGCTCCCCATATGTAGATTAGACTCCCACCACTCTCTGCTCTCTGGCTATTTTTATGCTCTGCCATATACTACCTTCTCTCCTTCCCCCATCTTCCAACTCTAGCTTTGAGAATCATGAGTCAAACTGAAACTACCATTCCTGGAAAAGATGAGCCAATCAATTAACATATGGCTCTACTTACTATTCCTGTGACTTCAGACCAACATACCTTTCACTCACTATCACCATGTATTGGATTCCCCTATTATAATGTAAGGTCCTCGAAGGTTGTTGCTACTTTGCTTTTATATTTGTATTCCTAGTGCTTAGCACTAGTACTTGCCACATAGTGAATTATTAATATATGTCTAATTTATTTCTTTATTAGTATCCTTTGACTTGTTACCTATTATGAAATTGCTTTTGGCCTCATATAATTCTTTTCATGTATCTTCTATAACCTTGTCAGAAATCTTTGAAACAAAAATCATCCCCTATCCTCCATCTTTATTTCTTAACCTAGACACATTAATTTTGTCCATCCCAAAGTTTTCTTCCCTTTCATGTAATCAAATTTTCTATTTTTCCCCTTGCTAATCACATCTATCCCTTGTTTGGTTAAGAATTTGCCCTCTAGCCATAACTGTGAAAGTTATATGATGTGTTTTATCCATCCAAGATGGTTTTCTGAATTGAGGCAAGCAGCCCAATTCTAATACACCTATTCCAGCAAAAACCTAAAAATTGCCCAAGACCAAAAAATGATTAAGAAATACAGTGAGAAAATGTGACTTCTTCCAGTCCAGAATTTCATAAAAAGTCAGCCAAGGGGCAGCCAACAGAGCCAGAATCAATGCAGGAAAACAAGCCAGAAGCTCCCAATGTGAGCAGAGGCTAGCCAGAGACACTAGTAACCTAGAAGACTCTGTAGCCGGAGGCAAAGAGAGCAGAAGGCTTTCTTGGAAGTGAAAAGGAATGACAGCAACCATTCTTGATGAAACAGCATTCAAAACAAAATAGCTCAGTCCAGGGTACCTGGAGTCCCTAGCACTGTGCCCTGATAGGCTGTGGAGGCTCTTGAAGATTCAGCATTCTTCATCTTGAAGATTCAAATTGATCAACCCATTGGAGATGGTGGCTAAAGAAAAAACCCAGGTGACTCATTTTGAGAAAAATCAGCTCTGACTACTCCCCCCACCAAACAGAGTGAAATGTGGGGGGTGGGGAGGTGATGCCTAGCTTTGGCACAATGTCCCGAGTTATGAGCTTTAGGTACGGAGCTGAATAAATTGAAGAAAATGTTGATCACCATAAAGAATTATTCTAAACTAGGAGAGAATCTCTTCAAAACAACTAGAAGCAGAGATGGAAAGGGAAAAAATAAGAGATTTTTCCACATACACCTCATGAGTACTTAGAAGATAACGGTGGTCAGTGAGGGAGGGAGATACAGAGACATACATAGACAGTCATAGAGATGAGAGAGATAGAGACAAAGGAAGAAAGAGAAAAAGGAGGAAGAAGAGGAGGAAGATGACAATGAGGAGGAGGTGGAGGAAGAGAAGGAAGAGAAGAAGAAAGAGGAGGAGGAGAGGGAGATGGGAGAGAGAGGGAGGGAAAAGGAAGGAGAAAAGAAGGAAGGAAAGAAGGAAGAAAGGAAAAAAGGAAGGAAGGCAGGAAGGAAGGAAACTAGCATCACAAATGATATCTTGAGTGTGCTTTGGTAGATTGATTTACAAATATTTTATACATTGTATATTTATTTTGAATGGGAATTTCTGGAAGCCTCTTTCCTGGAATTTCTGGATGAGTTTCTTGGAGTTCTTTCAGTTTTAGGGACTTTCACGGGGATTTCTACAAACCTTGCCATAACTGTGTGAATTTTAGCAATATTTCTGAAGTAAAGCATGATTTTTCAAAAATATATTTCCTAGAACTCTAGGGTACATGGGGAGATGTACTTTGAATGTGGAATGTGTTTATATGTCTTTGTAAAATTATTGCTTTGTGCGAGGATTAATTCAGTTGCTTTCTCTTCTGTCTCCAGATTATTAACTCTTCTCCTTGAACACAATCAAGAAGGCTGCCAGGAAGCAAAGAGTACAAGCACTGGCAAGGATAAGTAGAAAATGTATTATAGTTACTGTCCCAGGTGTCAGATAAGAGTTGACTCACAAAAGAAAAAAGATTGTCTTACATTTACTTGTGGCTTCTATCACGTACCTCAATAACTTTGTATTTACTCATCACAGCCAAAGGTGGTGGAGGAGCCTTCTTTGTTACATATTGACTGTGTGACCCTAGGCAAGTCAATTAGCATCTCAGATCTCCAGAAAACTATCTAAGATGAGAAGATGCAAATCCAGTGTCAACTGGATATTGGAAGAGGGAGTTTCCTCACTGTGAGGACTCCTTATCAGTGGAATCACAAATCCACTAAAACATGTGTGCTCTCTCTCTCTCTCCCTCTCCTTCATACCCTTTCTAGTAACATAGACAATTGGCTATAAATCAGCATAGATTTTATATTTCTTTTTTATTACAATTTTTAGCAATTCCACTTCAGTTTTTTTTAAATTTTTAATTAATTTATTTTGAATTATCAACAATCACTTCCACAAAATTTTGAGTTTTAAATTTTTCTCCTCCTCCCTCCCTACCTCTCTTCCCAGGATGGTGCGCAATCTGATATAGGCTATACATATATATTCCTATTAAACATATTTTCACATTAGTGATGTTGTAAATAATAATTAGAACCAATAGGAAGAACCCCCAGAAACAGGAAACAAAACACAACAGAGGAAAAAATAGCAAATAGTATGCTTCAATCTACATTAAAACTCCACAGTTCTTTCTTTGGATGTGGGTAGCATTTTCCATCATGAGGCCTTTGGAGATATCTTAGATTCTTGTATTGCTGAGAAGGGTTAAGTCTATCTCCACTTCAATTTTTTTAACATAAAAATGTCAACTTCAAATTTTGTTTATATATGGAATATATGTATATCTATTTAGATTGATTGAATATGCCTAATTGTGCTCTACACAGAGTGGGCACTTGATAATTTTTGTTTTGTAATTTTCTATGTTCTTTTTTCAACTGTCTTTATAATTTCTATAGATAATGATATTAGAGTGCTTTCTATCTTTTCCTTCCCATTGAACTAAGTTATAGAAAAGTCATCATCAATTCATCAGTCTGCTTAGAAATGTTGGTCACAGTTTCCTATAGTTTTAGCTGAAGTTTCCTGATAAAATCTCTTTTGGGGGATGAGAAAAGCATATTGAGAAAACAGCATTGAAAATGTAAGAGATTCTCATGGAATTGGGAGGAAAGAAGAGAAATTAAGGATCATTTTAGGCTGTATTTATATGAAAATGATTATGAATATTTTAAGCATCTTTCTTACTCTTTGGTCTTCTGTGTTTCAAAATGGTAAAGGAATAACAATGTCCTGTCATAATCCTCCTTATGAAGCATTTCTAAAGGAAACTAGAGTCAATTCAGGGAGAAAATGAGTCAAATCTCTCGTCATAAGATGTTCTTGGATTTGGAAACCCCTGTTTAAGTGATAGAAGTGACAGGCCAGAGATGAAATGTACCTAAAAGCAAAAATGCGTTTGCCTAGAGTCTTACAAATCTAATCAGAATATTGCTATTTCTAAGTGAGACAATGGGGAAAAAGCCTAACCCAAAGCAAAGAAATACAATAGATAAGTATATATCATATCATATCAAAAGAACTCCCTGAGTTGCTGGAATAGGACACCTCCAATGGAGCTGTCTTAGTTTGTTCAGCTTCATCATTTACCCTCCTGGTGGTGATACTGCTTCCTTTAAGTAATCCATATATTGAGGCCTCTTGATGGAAGAGACATGCTTTGTTGGAGTGACAAAGCTACTCTTGATTGATCACCATTGATAGAATCAGCATTGGAGATGAGTGGACATAGAGTAAAGGTAATTTACATACTTGGTCTGTAAGAGCACCTGAGGACAAACACTTCACTCTTTGTCTCTAGATATTAATTGCACCATGGTTTAGAGACTTTCCAATAATTTTACTCTGTGGTGTGAACAATGAGACAGAGAGAGAGAGAGAGAGAGAGAGAGAGAGAGAGAGAGAGAGGAGTCTGAATTTACCCTCTTAGAAGGGGTGCTATGGCAAGAATCAGTTCCTATTGGGCAGCCAGTACCAGATTAAGAATCTACCTTTTGACCTCATGAATTTAAAAGTAGGACACTGTCCTATGCTTACCAAAGAAAAGAGAAAACAGAATAAGGTGCCCAAGGACTCTGGGCTTATTTAAGGAAACACACATTCCTGGTGCTGTATGATTGTTGCCAATCTTGCTGTGAAGGGTAGAGGTGGGGGAAAAGTGCTAGGGAGAAGGAAGGCTAGAAGAGTCACCAGAGAGATAAGGTGAGGTGTATCTTAGCTGATCTGATCTTCCCTTAGTCCTCTGAGTGGGTAGCTGCTCAGTGAGCAAATCATCTTCCATGCAATCCTTGTCAGTGGTGATCAGTCAGCAGTTGCTGGGTCTTATGTATAATACACATGTCCTTCAGTAAGGGGCCAAAGAGTATGTTACACATAATGAGACCAGGACACATGGCTCTATCTATGGAAGGTCATGGAATCATAGATTAGGAGATAGAAGAGACCTTAGAGTTTGAGTCCAACTGACTCATTTTAAAAGAGAAGAAATGGAGGCCCAGTGAATTCACTTTACAACTCTTTAAGATTCTATTTTGGTCAAGATAGAAACTGCCACATCTGAAGAGGACTTCAGATCTCCTTCACAAGTTTTAGTACAAGTATAGAAATTGGCTATTTGGAACAATTTGGAACTTCTTCATTTAAGGAATTTGCCTTGAGAAAACAGTCCTTATATCTTAAATTTGACCCATTACTAAAAGAGAGCCCCCAAAAGCCAGCTCCTATAACTACTGAAATAACAAATAGCCTCTGGACATAAGCAAGCAGTCTCAGAAAAATCAACATGAAGCAAAACTTGATGAATTTGACTTACTAAGAACACTTAATATTCCTGTAATAGGACCTCCTCCTCCTGATGGACCAGAATGTTTGGGTGTTCCTGTGACAGGCACAGATTTGCCTGTTTCAGTAGATGTGATTATAGATGTGTTGAAGTATAGCCAGAAAGACATGAATGTGGCTATAGAAAAAGTCAAACAAGAAGCTAAAGAAAAACAAATGAAAATTCAAGAATTGGAAGACAAATATGAAAAATTCCACACGGAATATTTAATGATGGGGAAAATTGTGGAAGAATATGAAGAGATAATAACTCAGCTGATGATGGATGCTCAGAAGCAGAAGGAGGCTGCAGCAGCTGAAATCCAGATGATTTTGTCAGAAAAACAGCAAATCACAGCAGACCTGAATTCCATGGGAAAGTCTTTCTCTGACCTCTTCAAATGAGTAGAAAAACAGAAGGAGGTTTTAGAAGGATATCGGAAGAATGAAGAAGCATTGAAGAAATGTGTTGAAGATTATCTAGTAAGAATTGAAAAGGAAGAGCCGAGGTACCAAGCCCTGAAGGCTCATGCAGAAAAGAAGTTAAACCTAGCAAATGAAGAAATTGCCCAGGTTCAAAGTAAAGCAAAAGTTGAGACTCTGACTTTACAAGCAAATTTACCAAAGGACCAATTGGGGGGCAGAGCCAAGATGGCGTAGGGAAAGCAGTGACTTGCTGGAGCTCTCCCCCAAACCCCTCCAAATACCTATAAAAATGACTCTAAACAAATTCTAAAGCAGCAGAACCCACAAAAAGACACAGCAAAGCAAATTTCCAGCCAAAGACATCCTGGGTGGTTGATCAGAAAGGTATATCATTCCAGGTTGGGAGAGGAGCGTAGTTTGGCATGGGCGTGCAGGCCGCAGTGACCCTGGAGCGAGCCTCAGAGGACTGAAGACTGAATCGCAGGCAGCTGTGGCAGTTTCCAGACTTCTCAACTCGTGAACACCAAAGACAACTTGGAAGGTCAGTGGGAAAAGTCTGTGACTGCGGTGAGAGAAGGAGCTAGGTCTCAGCCACCCCAGGGGGGCCGCGGCTGTTCCCTGAGGTTCCGGCCCACAGACCTAGAGGGAATCAAATGGCTGATCAGAGAGGGATTGCAAGGATCTCTTTGCCAGTACTGAGGCAGGAATCTCTTGCTTAACCATTGGTGCTTGGATACCGGTGACAGTTCTGAGAGGTGGTCCTGGGGCGAGGAGGAATGCTGGTGTAGTGAAGATTCTTGTGGCAGTGGAAAGAAAACACCTTGCCCCTTATCATAGCACCTTGGAAGAATTGAAAATTTTCAGGTACCTAGAAGTATCTCTGAAAACAGCTGTACAAACCCCCGAAACTTGGGACAGTACATTTTCCAAATTGGAAGCAGACTTTTACCTTAACAAAGAATTTAAAAATCAAGTATTTGGCCAGGATCATGAGTAAGCAGTGCAAAAAGAGTCAGACTATACTATCTTACTTTGGTGACAAAGAAGATCAAAATATACAACCAGAAAAAGACAATGAAGCCAAAGCTCCTACATCCAAAGCCTCCAAGAATATGAATCAGTCCCAGGCCTTGGAAGGGCTCAAAGGGGATTTTGAGAAGCAAGTAAGAGAAGTAGAGGAAAAACTGAGAGTTTTGCAAGAAAATCATGAAAAACAAGTCAACAGCTTGCTAAAGGAGACCCAAAAAAATATTGAAGAAAATAACACCTCAAAAAATAGCTTAACCCAAATGGCAAAAGAGGTCCAAAAAGTCAATGAGGAGAAAAATGCCCTAAAAAAAAAAAATTGGTCAAACGGAAAAGGAAGTCCAAAAGCTTACTGAAGAAAATACTTCCTTAAAAATTAGAATAGAGCAATTGGAAGCTAGTGACTTTATGAGAAATCAAGACCCTGTAAAACAAATCCAAAAGAAAGAAAAATTAGAAAACAATGTGAAATATCTCATTGGAAAAACAACTGACCTGGAAAATAGATCCAAGAGAATGAATTTAAAAATTATTGGACTATCTGAAAGCCATGAGCCAAAAAAGTCTAGACATCATCTTTCAAGAAATTATCCAGGAAAACTACCCTGATATTTTAGAACCAGAGGGCAAAAGAGAAATTGAAAGAATCCACTGATCACCTCCTGAAAGAGATCCCCAAAGGAAAACTCCTAGGAATATTGTAGCCAAATTCCAGAGTTCCCAGGTCAAGGAGAAAATATTACAAGCAGCCAGAAAGAAACAATTCAAGTTTTGTGGAAACACAATCAGGATTACACAAGATTTAGCTGCTTCTACATTAAGGGATGGCAGGGCATGGAATATAATATTCTGGAGGGCAAAGGAGATAGGACTACAACCAAGAATCACCTACCCAGCAAAACTGAGTATAATCCTGCAGGGGAAAAAATGGTCATTCAGTGAAATAGAGGACTTTCAAGCATTCTTGATGAAAAGACCAGAGTTGAATACAAAATTTCATTTTAAAATACAAGACTCAAGTAGAACATGAAGAGGTAAACAGGAAAGAGAAAATCATAAGAGACTTATTACAGTTGAACTGTTTACATTCCTGCATGGAAAGATGATATTTGTAACTCATGAGACCTTTGTCAATATTAGGGTAGTTGGAGGGGAAAAAATTATATGTGTATATATATATATGTATAGATATAGATATAGATAGATAGATAGATAGATAGATAGATAGATAGATAGATAGAGGGCACAGGGTGAGTTGAAGATGAAAGGTTCATATATGGAGAATAAAATTAAGGGGTGAGAGAGGATTATACTATGAGAAGGAGAAAGGGAGAGGTAGAACAAGGTAAATTATCTCACTAAATAAACAGAGAAGAAAAGGCTTTTACAGTGGAAGGGAAATGGAAGAAGGTGAGAGGGAATGAGTGAATCTTATTCTCATAGAATTTGACTTAAGGAGGGAATAACATACACACTCAATTGGGTAAAGAAACCTGTCTTACCCTATAGGAAAATAAGGGGAAAGGGGACAAGAGAGTAGGGGGATGATAGAGAGGAGGGCAGATTGGGAAACGTGGTAATCAGAAGCAAGTACTTCTGAGGAGGGTCAGTTAAAAGAAAGAATAGAATAAATGGGGGGGTGGAATAGAATTAAGGGAAATAGAATTAGTTTTTCACAGCATGTCTACTATGGATGTGTTTTTCATAACTGCACATATATAACCTATATTTAGTTGCTTGCCTTATCAATGAGGGTGGGTGGGGAGGGAGGAACGGAGAAAATTTGGAACCCAAAGTTTTAAAAACACATGTTTAAAAAAATGTTTTCACATGCAACTGGGAAATAAGAAATACAGGAAATGGGGTACAGAAATCCATCCTGCCCTGTAGGAAAATTGAAGGGGAAGGGGATAAGAGAAGAGGGGTAGAGATAGAAGGGAAGGCAGACTAGGGGAAGGGGTATTCAGAATGCATGCCATCTTGGGTTGGGGGGAGTGGCAAGATGGGGTAAAAATTTGGAACTCACAATCTTGAGGAAGTAAATGTTGAAAACAAGAAGAAAAACAAATAAAATTACCATTAAAAAAAATTTATGAAAGGACCAAATGAGAGCCCAGTCACTAGAGAAAGGCCTGAAACAGAAAACGAAAGAAAATGATGAATTAACAAAAATCTGTGATGACTTGACTTCAAAGATGGAAAAGATCTGACCTAGGAATTTTGAGTTGTTCCCTTCTTCACTCTGACCAGTCCTTGTTTCAATGTCGTCAGTTATGTATATGTCATGTTTAGGCATCACGTGCACTTTCTTAACCTTTGTCCATGTTGCAGATATACTAAAGTGTGTTTTTTTTAAGTTAGTAAATTGAGCTGTTCAAATAAAATGTGTTTGAGTAAAGATTAACAATCCTTCAGAAAAAAAGATTCTATTTTAGTTGTGACTGCTACCTTTTATTTAAATTTGCCCTTCTTTTTTTATTTTTTATTAAATAATTAATTTATTTATTTTTAGTTTTCAACATTCATTTCCATTAGCTTTTGTTTTAAATTTATTCCCCCTCCTTTCCCTCCCCCCTCCCCAAGACAGCATACAATCTGATACAGGCTCTACATATGCATTCATATTAAACATATTTTCATTAATTTCCAATTCTTGGCCACCACAAAAAGAGCCGCTATAAATATGTTTGTACATGTGGGTCCTTTTCCCCTTTTTATGATCTCTTTGGGATACAGACCTAGAGGTGGTATTGCTGGGTCAAAGGGTATGCACAGTTTTATAGCCCTTTGGGCATAGTTCCAATTTATTCTTCTTAACCCCCACCTCTCCCTTAACCCCATTCCTTCCTATTTCCCTGTTGGTTAAGATGAATTTCTCTACCCAACTGTGTATGAATATGTGTTCTTCTCTCCTTGAATCAGTTTAGATACGAGTGAGCTTCCAGTGTTAACTTCTTCCCACCTTATTGCCCCCTCCATTGTATAGACTCTTCCTTGTATGCTCTCTTTATAAGATAATTTCCCCCTTTCTTCCTCTCCCTCCCCCCGCCCAGTGCATTCCTCTTCATTACCTTTCTATTCTTTTTTTGAGATCATTCAAATTAATAGAATCACAATGCTATCTGGCTATTTAGGCAGCATGTTTCATCACTAGGTCTCTGGAATTCCAGTTGGTCATTACACTCATAAGATTTCAGAACAATAGTACTCCAATGTGTTTACTTATCATGATTTGTCCAACCATTTCTTAACTTGAGTATCCCTCAAATTGCCATTTTTATAGCTAAAAAAGAGCTATAAATATTATTGTACATCATTAGAGTTTATCTTATTTAATATAATTCATTTCTCAATCTACCCTCCCACTAAATCTTCCCTTTCTCTCTTATTTCTCTGTTTAGTGAAATATATTTCTGTAGCTAAATGCATTTCTGTCTCTATATGTATATTCTCCTTTCTTTTGACCAATTCAAATGAGAGTAAGGTTCAAGCATCAACCATTCTTAGCACTTTCTTCTCTTTATTTCTATAGATTTTAATTTGGGCACTCTGATTGTTTGAAATAATTTTCTTTAATCTTCCTTTCCCTTTCCTATCCCCAGTGTATTTTTCTTCCCTTCTCTTTTTTATTCTTTTCTTAATGTTACCAAGATATAACAGAACCACTCCCAGGTATTGTTTAATTGTACTCCCTCTATGGACCCTTAAAATAATAGAGTTCAGAGGGACACACGTATTGTCTCCCTGTATTTGAATGTGAGCAGTTTATCCTTGTTTAGTCCTTTATCATTGTTGATTCAAGCTTACTTTTTTATATTTCTATTTACTTCTGTGTTTGAACTTCAAAGTTTCTCTGTAGCTCTGGTATTTTCATTGGGAATACTTGGAAATCCTCTATTTCATTGAAGGTCCATTTTCCTTGTAGCATTATATTGAGTTGGCTACATAAGTTATTTTTACCTATAAGCTCCTTGGCTTTATGGAATATTGTATTCCAAGTTCTCTGCTCCTTTTTAGTACTGGCTACTAAATCATGTGTAATCTTTACTGTGACTCCTTGGCACCTGAATTCGCTTTCTGGCTGCTTGCTGTACTTTTTCTTTGACTTGTGAATTCTGAATTTTCAATTCAATTCAATATAATAAATCTTTAAGTGCCTACTATATGCCAGGCGCTGTGCTAAGTGCTGGGAAAAGAAAGTTCTTGCCTTCAGTAAGTCTATAATCTAATGAAAGAAAACAACACACAAAAGCAGCTGGAAAAGGAGTTAGTGGATACCAAGGGTATCTTGTTCTTGGAGGTCAAACCAAATTAGAACCAGAGGGATTTACAAGTAAATTCTATCACTTAAAGATCAACTAATTCCACTATTAAATAAATTATTTAAAATAATAGGCAATGGACTCATACTAAATGTCTTACATGAAAAAAAAAAATATTGTGCTGATACCTAAACTAGGAAAAGCAAAAATAGAGAAAGAAAATTATAGACCAATTTCACTAATGTTGATGCAAAAGTCCTCAGTAAAATACTAGCTAGGAGTCTACAAAAATATATCTCAAATATTATATATTGTGACCTAGTGGGATTTATACCAGGAATGCAGGGCTGGTTCAATATGAGGAAAACTATTTATTGTTGTTATTATTATTGTTATTGAACAAAAAAGAACATTACTATGTAATTATGATGACCAAGCTTCACTCAACTTTTCTTGAGGAAGAGTTAAGAGAATGTACCTCTCTCCCTTTTTTGCAAAGGTAGGGAACTATGAGTATGAATCACTGAATATACTTGAGATATTGCCAGACTGTCAGAATGTCAGATAGAGTTAGTAGGTTGGTTGCTTTTGTTTTGTGTTTTCCCATTTAAATAGCAATGTGTTCTTTGTGTTCCTAAATCTGCTTCAATTCATATAAGTCTTCCTTTGTGTGGTAGGCTTGTGTAAATTATTTGGATTTGAATACACCTTTGACATAGATTATAAGGGGAAAGTCTCTGGACTGTGAATGATTAAAAACTACATGGGAATTAAGGAATTCTATTGACACATGGACAGACCATAAAGATTTATTTTTTCATACATAACAGAAATCTTTTCACTGGTGCCATGGTCAATGGTATTCTCATGACCTTATAAAAAGCCTCCTCTGAGGGGAGCTACCTCCCTTCTTGGACTTGGCAGATCCTTGGCTCTGTACAGGTTCAACTCCACTTGCCCCTGCCCCTTCATTTCTTCCCCCAAAGGAATGAGGAAGCTCATATAGAGGACTGGACACTCAGTCAGACCTGTCAACGTATATTCATACCCTGTATTAGTAAACATATCCTTAACAGCTAACTAAACCCATTCTGGAAACCATTTGCATGAAATGGGTCAGTTAATTATATCACCCAGATTTAGTACAACTGCTGACTCTAGCTTTGACATAGTTTCTCTGCATTTTCAATATTTAGCAGCTCTCTTGCTGTCCTATATTCTTACTTCACTCTAAGGTTTTAGTACTCTGAGTATTTAAAAAAAATCTTGTCATTACCTTACAGAAAGAGGCCTTGACATTCTACACTTATGAAAGGAAAAACAAATTCAAGTAACGTTTACTTGTTCTTTTTAAGAATATTTTCTTTTTCCCAATTGCAAATAAAGACAGTTTTTAACATTTTTTTTAAATTTTGACTTCCAAATTCTCTCCCTCCTTCTATCCCCTCCCCCACCTTTGAGATAGTAAGTGATTTTATGTAGGTTGTGTGAAAAGTAAGAAACAGTTATATTTCCATATAAGGAAATTGAGAGGGAAGCAGATCTGGGTGAGGAGCTTCAAGAACCAGCTAAAATCAGGTGAAACTGGTAGTGTGGTTGGGGAGGCTGGAAGTAGGACAAAAGTTAAGCTTTCCTTAGAGTGTGCATGCTTAATAGGCTCATGAATACTAGCTTCTCCACCCCTGGGTGGGTGTGGTTAAGATGCCATTTTCTGAACATACAATGTATGAAGAAGGGAAGGAACATACCAAGGGGAACAGTGGTCGGCATTTCGGGAAGTCTGTGATCTATGCTGAATTCTACCAATGAAAATCAGTTAGAAGACTTGAAACCAGAATAGGGATATGAGGTTTGCTTTCACTTCTGTAGTGTGCGTGTGCTCATCTCAAGTTCTATACCTGCTTCCTGCAGGAAGCATATTAAAGGTTTCAACTGTTCCACTCATCCTGAGTCTGCCTAACTTACTATGTCTATTTGGGCACCAGAGGTTATTTCCAACAGTAGTACATGTTCGAGCATGCAAAACATATTTTCATATTAGTCATGTTGTGAAAGAAAACAGACCCAGAAAACCTAAAGAAATGAAAAATACTATGTTTCCTTTCTCCATAGATATGACAGGTAAACTATTGAATGTTCCCCTAATTTGCCCTTTAGTTCTAATTCATGTCCCCATTTTGACCTTATCTTGGTGTACAATGTGCGATGTTGGTCTATACCTAGTTTCTGCCATAATGTTTTCCAGTTTTCACAGAATTTTTGTCAAATACTGAGTTATTATATCAAACCTTGGATTTTTGTGTTTATCAAATGCTAGATTACTATGGTCATTTGCTATTATTTATTGTACATCTAATCTACTCCACTAATCCACCACTCCATTTCTTAGTCAGTTTTGATGATTACCACTTTATAATGCAGTTTGAGATCTGGTATGCCGAAGGCACCTTCACATTTTTATTTTCGCTAATCTCTCAATATTGTCAATGTTTTGTTCTTCCAGATGAATTATGTTATTATGTATTCTAGCTCTATAAAGTAAGCTTTGGTAGTTTCATTGGCATGGCACTGAATAAATAAATTAACTTACATAGAATTGTTGTTTTTAATATATTCGCTCAGCCTACCCATGAGCAACATATTTTTATTATTGTTTAGATCTGAATTTAGCGAAAAGTGTTGTGTAATTCTGTTCATATAGTTTCTGGGTTTGTCTTGTCATGTATACTACCAAGTATTTTATATTGTCTACCATTATTTTCAATGGAATTTCCCTTTCCTATCCTTCCCTTTGGAGTTTTGTTGGTAATATATAGAAATGCTGATGGGTTGTGTGGGTTTGTTTTATATCCTGCAACACTGCTAACATTGTTAAATATTTCAACTAATTTTTTTAGTTGATTCTCTTAATATACTATCATATCATTTGCAAAGAGTGCTAGTTTCAT